AGAGCCGGTTCTATTGGGACCGTGCGATGACGTACCCGTTTACCCAACCTGTTTCTAGTAGGGCTTGGACCCACGTACCCGTTTATGGGAGCCTAGAAAGTAGGGCTTGGATCCACGTACCTGTTTATGGAGCCTGTTTCTAGTAGGGCTTGGGCTTGAACTTTCGAATGACTCACAAGTGAGGGGGCGTGTTAGAATATCACTTGTGAGTTGTCCAACATCGTTCATACATGGAAAATAGACTCACATTATAAGTCTAATGGGCTACTCCTCCTTCCACCAATTGGTTTTGGGATGAAACTCATTTGGGCTTCATATGGGTTTTTCCCACTTTTGGTGCGCTTCATGTCAGTGGGACCGCACTCGTTTTCCCCCAGTTTCTTACAGGATCCGACCCAATAAAAAAATTAAAAAATAAAACAACAATCTAAAAGTTGTTGAGTTCTTGGGCTGAACCGGATCCGACCCGACCTGTCGGGCTAAGGTCGAAAAAACATGGTCTTGACTCAGCCTGGTTAAAATTCGAGCCAGACCTGAACCCATTGACAACTGGTTTGACTGTTCTGGGTTCGTGTTGGGCTGGCGAGCCTAGTGGCCCGTGCCCACCCTACAGTAGAGTAGTTAAATTAATTTTCATATTTGGGTCATACGTGACTCAAAGATTTTTTTTTCAACAACAAACCAACAATCCTTGTAACACTCCGAGACAGGGGCGTAGCCAGAAATATTTTTTACCCTGGGCTGCTAGAACCGATTTGGTAGGGAGTATAACTCAGTTCGACTCGTAAAAAATCAATCGTGATTCATTCATATAATAAAACATAAAATGAAAACTTAGTTCAAACGAGCGGAGCTTAGTTGATAACACTCAATTTATTAAATGTTTCGAGCCAAACATGTTCATTTATTAGACGAACAAAAGTTCAAACACGATGTACTCGGCTCAATTTGGCTTCAATGATATTTCGCTTAAATTGTGGAATTTCAAATGTCGTTTCATTGATCTGCTATGCAAATTAATGAATTTAAATTATCTATTTCGCATATTCAAATATAATTTATTTAAAAGTTAACAAGTTGATGTATTTCATATATAAACTAATATAAATAGTATAAATTAATCGTGTATTAAATCAAACATTAAAAAATAAAAAAAAAAGAAGAAAAAATGACAAAGTAAGCTATAACCACATAAAATACATATGAAAAGTTTGAGTCATGTTCAAAAATATGTATAATATTTTGGTTTAATATCAATTATTTTAAATGAATACAAACTAAATAATTATATCATGAATTAAATTAATAAAACATGGGTAAAAATATTTTTTTTTTTTACTACTACATATTTATATTAGACAAAAAATTAAGACTGGGCTGGAGCCCGGGTGAGCCACCCCCTGGCTCCGCCCCTGCTCCGAGAAAAGTACATGCAATCAAATGAATACATATAAGGATTTTTTGAAGTAACATATCTAAGTTTTCACCTAATGTGTTCATGAGACTCAAGTCAAGATATTATTACTGTTTCAATGAAGACATAGTCAAAGAAGATATATGTTATGAAATGGTAAAAGCCAATTTGGATATATCTGTTGGAAAAATCAGTTATATAATTTAAGTTTGACTCGATTTTGACTGAATTTTTAATGGCTAAATATTTAATTTGAGTTGAATTAAATATTGTAGAAAATTCTACGTTCCGAGTAGATACTCGTGGTATATTTATTTTCTAAAACTGATTTTCGGTGAGTGAGAAATAAATTGTTAAAGTTAGCCATAAAGGACACGTTAAACATTGGTTGTGAGATTTGAAGGGTCAAGAGTCACTCCCACATTGGACTCTTAAATGAGTTTAACTCTCTTTATTATAATAAAGAGAGTTGGAGAGGTTACAACAAGCACAAAGCTATGCACCAAGAGTTGGTGTTGTTTTCGGCCACACGCGCGCGCACGTGCCCGCCGGCCCGGGCTGGGGCTTGGGCCTTGGTTCTTGGAAATCGGACTTTGGGCTGGACTTGGGCGGCGGTTGGGGTTGGACCTTGGACCCAATCACTATATATCTTTTTGCTGCAAATTTATTTGCAACTTTAGGTCCAACTGAAAAATCTAATTCTAGTTGGAAGTGGCAGATATGACTGTTACATTCCCTCAATCTGAATACTCTCAAAGCCTCACGCATCATATCTTAGTGCTCTGTTTCAACTTCATTCCTGTTCGCCGGGACTCTGAAGGCTGGTGTGCTACAGCTTCCGAGTGTATAACCGTTGTATCTTTGGGGACATTACGCACATGCCCGTCAGCACTATACGGGGCATATTTGTCTTGCGGAAAGATTTCAATCGTCTCGGCTTTCAATTTGTCCGCATTCGAGTTGTAATTTTTCTTTTGCTTTAGTTCTTCTTGTACGAACTGAACACTTCAGTCAGTTCATAGGTTCCCATTGTAATTCAAAACTCACAAATTGTGTAACAATATCTATATACAAGAATTTGAGAAGATTATTAAGACAGAAATTTTGAAATTTTTCCACACAATAATACATACTGTTATTTTATAAATATGACTCTTATAATCTTTTGAATCTAACATAACTATAGTCTATACATGCTATTTTTCTTCAATTATTTAATATTTTATTACTGCCATTACTACTCCCTTTGTCTTACATTTTCAACATATATTTCTATTCAATTAATAAATCATTATGATTTTCGCAATTTTACTCTCTATTAAATTAATAAATCATTACTCCCCACGTTTCAATATCTATTAATATATAATAAGGATTAACTTAATTCAATTTTAGAAACTATTTCCCGCCAAATTCATTAATTATAGCCTAAAAATAGTAAATTAACATAATTTTTTAAAATTGCTCTTAATTATTTCCGATTAACATTAACTTTTTTAGGGAATAAATTTTTTTATGGAATAAATCATTTACGCCATTATCTCCGATTTTTATTTATGGAACAAATCATTTTGAGGCTCCATTAACAAAACAACGAGCATTAATTGCACATAATTTCCTAAAATTGCTCTTATTTATTTCGGATTAACATTAATTGTTTATGGAATAAATTATTTTTTCACGCCAAGATTTCTGATTTTTTGTGGCTCTATTAACAAAACAGCAAGCATTAATTGCAGATACTATGGAATAAATCTCCTCTTTTTAATTCTTAATATAATAAATTCCCTCTTTTAAGGCTCCATATAAATCATTTATATGATAAAATCTTAACAATATCTTTCCATTTAAATAATTTTCATCAATCACTCTTTTAGGTACCAACGTGCTAAACAACAATTTGTATAAAAGGATATTCACTACCACGATTATTTCTTCACTTCATTCACAGCGTTTAGAGAAAAAAAAATTATATAGATAAATTTTAGAATACATCGATAATATAATGCAGCCGGTCTGGGATACACTCGATTCCGTGAGTAGGACAAACAAACCTTATTTGCGATTGAAAGCAGTCCGAATAATTGAAACGCATCACGAACGTGAGAGCTGGAACGCATTCCATATATTGTTTCATGATGAACAGTTAAATATTTTCATTAGCTAGTAATATCAAACTTATTTCTAATATATTTAAATTATGAATTTCATTGTTCTTCC